TATTTTATTATAATATTTTCGACGTCGAATTAATACTGCGCTCGCCTTTAGCCCTGCTAATGTTCCTGACGCGCCTGCTTCAGGAATTGATATGTTTTTGGCGCTGGGTTCCAAGATGCCGCTTATCGTGCTTATCGCCTAAAATCAGCCCTAAATGCCGGTGCTGAAAATCTATAGCTCACGTGATGTAAACTATAGGTTTTTAGTACTGACAGTAAATATTGGAATGTAGTTTAATGAGAGTCATTAAAATATTTAACAATTTTATTGCGGAAAATATTATCTTGGCCAGGGTTTGAATCTGGAATTCCCAACTTTTCGGGACGAGCGTAATATCAGTTGTGATGTTCAAATTATTTATTTATTTGACGTTAAAATTGCTCCAAAATTATTTTTTAGTTAGTTGATTCCTTTTAGTGTTATTTTGATGATATATGTTCCATAGGATTCAGCACAATTTAATAATACATTATTCTTGCACTGTCTTTTCGTATTTATTGTCTGGTATCACAAGTAAATTTTTTATTTCGCATTATATTGAAAATATTCGCATTACCACGACGCAACGTATTACGACGAGTATCGTTCGTATTATCACGACGCACTATATCACAACGAGTATCGTTCGTTCGCATAGAATTCGATTCACTGATATCGACGACGCCTAGGAGCTAATGCCCTGAGTCGATCAATAAAGACGTTTAAGGACTGTTGCCCAAATATTGAAGTTTGGTACGGAACTCGCGACGACGCCTAGAGAGAAGATCTCTTGAGTCGCGATCGGCTCGAATGACACGGCTACGTGGAGAGAAAAATGATTCTGAAGCGTACTATACAACGGTCGCGAGCTGATTAAACGACGGGTACCGGTGTAACAATCACGACGCGATGGTAGGGATCGCACCCCCATCCGAAAACAGATCCTAATTGGTCGTTCACGGATCACGCTGCTAGGAAGCACGAACGCACGAGAACCCCTTCGCGACAGTCCGGCGCCGTGAAACCCGTTTTTCTTTGTTGTTGCCGATGACTAATACTTGTTATTCTATAATTACATGTATGCCTTGTGTCAAATGCCGCCGTATCAAATATACCGCGTATTGTCATGCATGACATAACAGCCTTGATACGCAACAATATATGACTTGCTGTTTTGTTAACGTTACGTACATTATCGTGAAAATCCTTCCATCATGATACCCCGATAAAAAATGTTTCATATATAATTATACAGGGTGGGCCAAAAGTCTGGATACACTCAAATATCTCAAATAATAAACGATGCATTTTAGAAAGAAATGTTTCTTACAAAAGTTGTAAAGCTTAAAAAACGCATTCAAAGATAGTAATTATTTAACCTAAGATGGCGTTGTCAAGGTCAGATCAAGGTCAACATGAATTTTTTTAATGGAACCTTCCCTTTTTATAACATATTCTTGTAGTTTATTTCCAGAGTTTTCCAAAACACTAAACAAATTAAGTTCATTTCCATTAAGTACTTTGGGAGTTATAAGGCTTGAAAGTTACTGTACCGTCGGCATTAGCATTACCCAATATGTTCGACCGACGGCTAAAACCTCTTGTTGAATGTTGTTCAGGATCATATAACGTGTAGATACAGTGACACGAAATATTCACAGAGCACGACTGGCCCCAGCTTGGTGAGTCAAGAATGCAAGTAAGTAGTATTTGGGCCCATCTCGAATACTTAATAAAATAAACTAAAAAAAATTTTTTTTCTTTCTAAATATATATTTTATAGAGGATGGACGATGCGTTCATGATTATAATTTAATTCTGATTAAAATGTCAAGATATCTTTAATCTTCTTTACCAAAAAATGTCAAATATCGCAAAAAAATAAAAACGGACAAATGCTCGCATACGTGTGACTGACGAATCAGAAAGTTTTGAAAAGTAATACACTGATGGATTCAATTTCGAGATATCACAAATGAGAGTACCAATTTTATTCGAAGTAATTGCAATCGAAAATTTATAGCGACATTAAGAAAGTTAGATTTTTTATTGCTTAAAGTTTAAATTTTTGAACAATTTTAATCGAAAATTTGTTGCCACAAAATTTATTAACAAGAATTCCGGATAAAGCTATTGATAGTGCTGCAAACTTG